CCGATATACCACACATTCTCTTGGCAGCTCAAGACTTTGCAGCATGGCCCACACATTCTCACGTCACATTCATTTTTATACATCATGTGAAAACCCATGAGGCCCTTGGCCTTTTAAGTGTGTTCTTGTCATCCTCATTGAGATAGGATCTCTGCCCTCCAGTGCAAAACCTCTATGAGTAATTTGAGGTGGCAGCAAATCTGCCCCAGACTCACATAAAACAATCACATAGTTTTGTGAGTTATTCAGTTAGGGGAAACTTTGTGTCAGTTTGTCTCGGTGTCTTGCGGTACCAGTGTGTACGCTACTATGTGACTAAATAAATAATATGTCTTGTTTACTACAGTCGCACACCCAGTTATTAATCACTGTATATCATTTCATTCAGCTTACATTTTTCACACACTTCTGTTGAATAACGCATCTGGCGCTTTCACGGCACAGAATCAGTCGAGACACGTCTCTTTCAGCCTTCTTGCTTACTATTAAAACAAAACCAAAAATCTGTAGGCTATAATGTAATGTTGTGTATGGATGCCAGCATGTTGTATGGATTGTGTTTACACCTACCTAAGATCTGAACACAATGTGAGCCAGACTACCTCCAGATATGGTCAGGCAGATCCGATCACTATAATTGCACAAAATGTTTATGTTTTATGTCAAACATTTACAAACTTAGCTTTCATGAAAAAAAAATACTGAAGGATTGGACCTATGCAAATAATGGTTTAGAAGCAAAATCTCTTCCATGTGTTGCACTCTTCTAACCCAACAAAATACCACTTTAGGCCTTCAAGATTATCCCATAAACTAATTACCAGCTTAGTTCAGACTATAGAGCACAACACTGCTCCCTTATCTGCCTCTCTGCAACAGTGTTGAACAATGTGTCAGAGTGAAGGAAGGTGTGAAGAGGTCTTCTCGTGGCCTCAGTGTTTGAAGGGAGGAGGCTGAGTGTGACTGTTTGTCTCCATGCCATCTCTCCCTGTGCTGCAAGCTGTGGCAAACTGATTAGGCTCCTGAATGCCACTCTTTGTCACTCTTCACTACTGCTTGGGACTTGTTTCTGTAGTGATTCGTGTTGTTTACTACCCCGTGTCGCTCAACATTCTTGAATTCTTTTTAAAGTATGAGTGAGTGAACTCTTCCAACTCTACATGACATTCCACAAAGTGCTGTGTGTGTGCCAGCAACCACTTAAAGCACAGTGGCAATTAAATGAGCGTTACACCTCCATAAGCTCCACGAGTAACATTTACATTAATTGATGGAGGAAAGAAATCACTGTTGTGGCGTTAATGTTGGGAACTGAAGTGTTTTAATGAAGTCAAATCCTATGTGGGGTTTAAATCCGCTATAGGGATCTGATCACTGATCACAGACAAAGAGTACAAAACAGTGTGTGTTTAAGTCATACAAATCACAAGCCAGTGGAGTATGAAAAAAATGTTACAGTAGGGTAATTATTAAAATTATTTTTTTAACCTCTAACTTTATGTTTTGCTTTGGAATGTTTTTGTTGCGTTTTAGTTGTTTCAATATGAGCTGCCACACGCTTATAAAAACCTGTTGTACTTGTACAATGTAAATTGGGGAACTCTTGCCTCCTGCCTAATACTGGAAGCACAGGTTTGATGTGGCTGTGTTTGATTCGTGTCAAAGAGATGTTTGTATAAATTCCAGACTTACATGATTACTAGCTTGTTGAAGGGCTCGGGGGGCTGAAACAGAGAAGCACTCGTCACTGTACCAAAGAGTTATGACGAAATGTTATGACGTGTTTAGAGAGAAACACAGGTATATGCTGTTAATCCATTTTGGTATGCTACAGAGGCTTGTATTGCATCACATAAGCCTCGTAGAGATGGAGTTATCTGTGTTTTTAAAAAATTCTTCAACAATCAAAAATGCACTGGAATCCACTTTCGTTTTTGCTCCTCATTGTTACAGAGAAAAACTGTATATCAGACTATACACTTTAAAGATGGGCTTTCTTTCATTTTAAAATGTGGTTTTCACACTTTACCTTAACCATAATAAGAATAAATTACTATACTGAATGAGCAGGCTACTGTACCTGACACAAAATGTGTTTGATACAATCATTGAGATATACTGTAGAAGGCACAACAGGAATTGCGTGATGTTTTTGGACGAGTTCAGTGCTTCTGTGTTGTTGAAGAAGCCAAGACAATGAAATGTAGATAAGCAATTTGCCACACAAAGAGTAATTAGTCAACAGTCAGAGATCAAACAATTTGTGTCACTAATATGCCAACATCTAGCAAAGATGGTAACTATGTCAGTTCTACCAGACAAAAACACAGACAAACTGGTCCTGAGTCACATTTTCAGAAACACATTCCTCATAGACACTTCCCTTTTGCATGTGTTTTTTATTGTTTGTGTGTCTGCTGCCAAGTATGTAGATCAAACAAAAAACTATTTGAAACAAATGACACTTTAAGTATCAGTTAATTATCAGCTCCCATCACATAACTCAGTTGCGTGGATATATGCATGAGAGGTTTTCTGGAACAGCCGGAAAATTTGCTTGAATACACATCCTTTACTAACATCCTGAAGTTTAAGAATGGGACCTAAAGCAGCCCAACCCAGTGAGTTCAAATCGTTTAGTGTGCTTTGACAAAACAAAGTGCAAAGTGTTTTTGTTTGTGAAAGCACTCTAGTATTTGTTCATGAATAGAGTTTGTCTGAAGGCAGCACCAGCAGATGTTTATGGCATCTGAAACCTCTGCTAGCTGCTATTGTGACAGCTTTACAGTACATACTTAGGTGTGTCCTGGTATTTAAAGATACTCATTACACTCACACTCATTCGTCATTCAGTCAGTCATGTCACTCATCTCATGCGGCAGTAGGTACTGCGTTGTTTGTTTGAAAGGTATTTGTAATTAATGTGTCATTTATATTAGTTAGCTTTGCATGAAAACAGAAACAAAATACTTGTAATTATCAGCAGGCACCAGAGGCAAGAAGGAAACAGAGGAAATGCATCATGACAAAAGCATGAGGCAGGTCAACCTTTTCGGTTACTCACCACAGGGGATTGAGATGTTGGTGGAGACGCGAAGTTGGAATTCACAAATGATGTTGTCTGTGGTTTGTTTTCATCATTCACGTTAATTTAACAAGTACAATGAAACTGGTCATGAGCAGAGACCCTGAAAACTGGCAACGTCCTGTGCATTTCCTTTTGTTTATTCCATTGTGTGAGTGTCTAGGTGTCATCTGTGAGTCATAATTAGAAGGATAATATTTTGAATCTGAAATAAGTTAATGGATGTATTTTATACATAATTTGCAGTGCCAAGTAGTGTTTCTACTGTATTTCCAGTTTAATCATTGTTTGTATAATAATTCTTTCTTTTTGTCTGATTGTTGTCATTAATCTGGAGATTATTTTCTAGACTGATTAGTTGTTTGTTCTGTAAAGTGACAGAAAATATTTTATATTTTTACATTTTTTGCTTGATAAATGGACTACTTGTTTCAGCTCTATGTGAGTGTAAATATGTTTCCCTAAAAATATTTTATGAAAATATTTTGTGTTACTTATTTATCACCCACAACATACAGCCAGGTGACTCTTTCTATATATTTACTTAGACCAGACAATGTATGTTTGACCAGGCTACAGCTGCTATCTTGAATTACAATAATCTTTTGTGCACATGGTCCCATGTCTACATAGTATGTCAAGCTTTGACTGGACAAGTCAAGTCTGTTAGGCTGCCTCTCAGGTTTTTTTTCTCTGTTTACAGAAGCAATGCTCTCTTAAACCTGGAAAGGCCCATTTGGGTGATGACAAATGGCTGAAATGGACTGCTCAATTATGTCCAGCCATTCTGCTAGAGTGAATTGTAGTTGAATTGCTGGTAGGTGTGAATCAGTCAGTGGTTTAAAAGAAAGAAAAAAAAAACTGAAGTAGAAATTGTGGAGCTTCCTAATTAATGCCATTTTTTAAATCTGCAAATAAATAGACAAAGGCCAGATAACATTTTGGAAGACACTTCTAATTTCTTTACTAGTGACAGTAAATGCAGTTAAGAACTGTTCACTAAAGCGTTTTTTAAAACGTAAGTAAGTACTATTCTTCACTTTAGAATAGATCATCTGAGGGCTATGGTGCTTGCACTGCCTAATATCAGGCTTTAAGATACTGGGGCTGTTAATGCTGTTTGGATGACCCCGCAAGGCAGTGAGAGCATTGCTTACCCAATTGGTGCAGCCATTATGTCTCCATTAGGCTTAGAAAATGACTATGTAGAGCCAATCTCCATTATTCCTAATAGAATTCAGATCTGGAAACAATTTGGAAAACACTCTAAATTCAGGACAGTGGCTGTTGTGCTACCTGTATTGCAAATCCCTGCTTTACTCTTTGGAATATAAATGGGGACTATTAAGAGAATTACAAATAGATAAAATCGGAGACCTCTGTATAAAAGGAATATTTAGGTTGTTTGAATAGCTTCAGGAGAAATACAGATTTAACTAAATCATCTTTACATCTCCAGATAAAAAAAAAGCTTTTCTTGCACAATAAAAACCTTTGAAAGAAAAAAAAATGGAAGGGAAAACCCAATGCTATTGTTAAAGCTCCAACAACAACATCATGTCTATTTCAGGCATGTTCTCCCAAGCTTCTGTATATCAATACCCTGGAGCATTGCATGAAAATTAAAGCACACTTCCACAAAAGCGCTTGTCCTCTGAGAGAAGATGACTCCCTTCCCTTCAATGGAGCTAAGAGAAATTGCATCAAATTCATTGAGTTGGGGCCGGGTGTAAATGGGTGTGCATAGTTTGTGGAAGGCAGGATGGAGGGATCCATGAAAAAAGGGAGAGAAAGAGAAAGAGAGAGAGGCAGAGACATGCCTGAACTTCCTCTCTGCCCATTCTTTAATGCTCGCTGAGTAGCCCCGCAGTGCAGGCTTTGTCCCAGTCATTGTCACAGGCTTAGGGAGACTCTTTGCCAAGTGAGAGGCTTTGGCGACATATGTCACTTCAGTGAGTCTCCTGTCGCTCCTTTAGCCGCTTGAGTGGAGGGGCGGGCAGGGAGGCGTGTCTGTGCACCAGGAGAGGAGCAACGTGAGGTGGAGGAGGAAGGACATGTCAGAGTAGTTGGTTCAGAGAGAGTTGTTGGAATGATCCCTTGATGGTCCTGCCCTGTCCTGTTTTATGGACTTGTAGCACAGCTGCCTTGGGCCTCCGCTAAAGGTGGACTGAAGATGTGGAATCACTCAAAATCCAGTAGGTATCAGTTACTTCATGAAAAGTGTGCTTTGATTAGCCACTGGCAAATGGTTTCTTTTTGTGCTTACTGTATGTGAATTTGAGCAGAATACCGTGTGTACAGATCAGTTCTGCATTACATTCCAGTCTGTACTTTGAGACTATATGTACATAGTCTGTAGGGGTGCAGGTATGCCTGAGGGAAGTGGTGAATTTGAGCTTTAGGGAGGGGGGGCATTGTATACAGTGTGTGTTGCCAAAGGATTAGTCATGTAGGAGTCACACTGTTAGTACCTTGGTCAACTATTGGCTTAGGGAACACAATCCCTGCAGATTTGTGGCTATGATCTGCCATATGTTCAGGTAATAGAGCCTTTGCTCCCAAAACAAATGCTTTATCTGTTTACATAGAGACTCCATCTCATTTTACACTCTAAGGATTTTACCTTTTACTGCGTCTTCTTTGTTTGAGTTATCATTAAAGTGGCAGGTTTGCAGATCTCCACATGCATATAAAGTCATTTGCCTAACCCACAAGGTTCTTTGGGTGTGCACTAGGCGGTGGATTTGCTGCACATGAATGAAAGTTGCCTGTTTGATTGTTTCCGTGTTTACAGGATCAGCACAAATCTGGGTAAAAAAGTCCCACTTCTCATGTCAGTGGTGGACTGTGGGCCTCCTACCTAGGACTCTGCATGCTCTGGTGGGCTGATATGGTTTTCTGTCTGTGATTTAAATCACAACACTATCACTGAAGTTTTGGCCTGTACAATAGTACTGTAGGTGGTCTCTAATGGAAACTTCTGTGTATCTGTGCGTGCAGGCGTGCACATGTGGGCATGTGTGTGTGCCTCTGTGTGTCTGAAATAAAGTATACAGCGCCACGCTAAGAATGAGAGAGGCTTACAGCTTTATTACAACATGAAAATGTATGTTTACACCACTGGAACAAACATATAACCAGCTTTGTTTACTATTCAATCCGGTGGAAGTTAATCACCAAAAGTCCTTATTGCAAATAATACTCTGCCACAATCTCTCAATTTGTTTAATTGATTCTAAATTCAAGCAGCTTAATCCTGCACCTAGTCTAAAACAATCAGGACATTAACCTTTCTCACTAAGAAGGGACAACACATGTAGCTTTGTGTCCTGAAAAGAACCCTGAGTAGCACTCAGTCATTGTTAAGCAGCGTACTGTATGACTGCTGGAGCTCCACGCCTTTATTCTCCTGATAGCAGGATTAACTAGAGGGTGAACCCATTTGGCATTGCCAGGGCTGCCGCCACAGTCTCAACACTGTGAGAACTAAGCCGTGAAATACTGATGGGCTTAGACCAATTTATAGTCTGCCATCTTGGATCTAGTGATCGTGGCAGACAGCAGCTTTGTGCCAGTAAGGTTTACTGTAATCATGCCATGCGATGCCACCAGCCAGGCTTTGCAGTTCAAAGGGTAATCTCCAGACAAGCACTGTGCTGTGTTACAACATCACAACAATGAGGGACAACTGACTCTAAATGGCTAGTGTTTATTTGACATATATTAAGCACCGGTTCTTTAAATGGGCCTTATTACAAAACTTGAAATGCCTTTTTTATATACGAAAACCAAAGGTATTTGATGTGCAAATGGCAGTAACACATGAAGGATTTTAGATATTTAATTTGAAATGATTTAGTCTGCTGCTGTTATTAAGTCTTTACTACTCCTTTATGACCAGCAATCCTTTGAGTGCTTAGCCTTCAAATGAGTACAATAAATGCCCTTTATGTGAGTACTCTGAGGAACAGCATATTTGTATTTAAATTAATTAACAGAACAGAATGGATCTATTTAATATGTTTTAAGTGGTTATTATTATTGAAAGACATTGCAAAGTACATTGCCATCTGGCTTTTTTTTAACTTTCACCTTGCAGTAAGCCAAGTTGTATAAAGTGCCTGTTTTCAACACCTCACCTACCTAAAAAAATTTTTCAAATTAATTAGTCGACTTATGACCATGTATTTTGATCTTATTCTGAATCTTCCAGGTCCTCTGTGCTTTACAAATTCCAAGTGACGCCAGTTGATCAGAATCAACACCTTCTCCTGATCTCTACTCTATTAACCAGTGGAGGGTGATGAGGTTGGTGGGGAGCCTGCAGCTTGCTCTGCTGTTGGCCTTGACCTCCAGGTCAGCAGGCCTTGATATCCCTCTGGAAGGTAGGATTGTCATAATACTCATTAAGGCCATGCTTAATTAATCACTAATTACCTACTAATGTTAGCAGCATTTTAAAATCATGACATAATGAAATAACACCCCAAAGTAAATTGTTTAAGTCAAGTGTGCAACAGAGTGTAATCTTGTAACAAAAATGTAATCACCAATGTTTACATTTACCTTTTTTTGTGATCATTCTGTGTGTATGTGTCTTCATATTATAGTGGAGCAGCCTCCAACCATAGTAACTCACACATCTGGTCCCGTTGTTGCTCTTCCTTATGATCACACCGTAACTATCAGGTGTGAAGCGAGGGGCAACCCACCTCCAGAGTAAGTGACATCAACATGTCATAAAAGACAAAAAAAACAACCAAATACCATCACCGATTCAGATTATCTGTCACAAAAGATCATATCTTTCATCAGTTGCACAACCTATTCAGTATATCAGTGAATTACTGAGGAAACCTGCTGTTTATTTTGCTTCAACAGATACAGATGGACAAAAGATGGAGAAGATTTTATCCCTCCACACGTTACGACAAACAAAACACACCACACAGATGGCACTTTTGTGCTTCACACCAAGGACCTTGCCCACTTTAAGGGTAGATACCAATGCTACGCTTCCAACAAGCTGGGCACTGCCATGACGGAGGAGATTGAACTGATAGTTACCAGTGAGTAACCTTTAAGAAGTTCATCTATTATGTGATATTGCTGTCTAATACTTTTCAAAGTCACCATATGTGGGCATTTTCTTTTCAACTTATCACAATGAGGTTTACGATTTCTTTAATGTCTGTTTTTTTGATTAGGTATCCCCAAGTTTCCCAAGGAGGCAATTGCCCCCATTGTGGTTAAGGAGGGAGAGCCAATCACACTGCACTGTAACCCTCCAGAAGGCGTGGCCCCACGTAAGATCTACTGGATGACTATTGGTAAGTCAAGAGGCAACTGTACATGCTTAGAATTTAAATGGTTGATATGTTGGATGGTTGACTCCCTCCAAAAAGTAGTTAATGTTCTTCAACTATAAAGACTCTTCAAGCCACCACCTCCCGTTCACTTTTGTTACATTGATGGTGCACGGATAGAAGAGGCAAAACGCTCGCCCACCTTTGCCTTCTTCTCGGTTCAATCCTTGGTTAGTGGGTACATCTGACTTGATTGATCTAAATTAACTAAGTCATACAACGTTTCAGGAGGCCATGTGAAGTGTTTATACCTGTGGGTTGAAAAGCCTGCCATCACAGATAGAGTTGATGAATCGTACAAATAGTGATAACGTTGCACACATTTGGACGGTCTCTCTTCAAAGGAAAAGCTTGTGTATACATGACAAGTGTCAAAAAGGAAAAAGAGAGCATGAGATGGGAGTTTAAATCCTGGCTTCTTTCTCTCCTCTGCATACCTGCCCAATACCTGGCACAAGGTGGGTGGGACTGACTGTTTTCGAAAATTAAAAATCTTGATGAATGCAGGATGGAGTGTTTCAGAAGCTACAAGACAAACAAGTATTCAAAGCATGAGTGGGAATTCTGTAAGGGATCACATCCATGTCACTACGCTAGTGTTGTGCAGGGTTCTAGGCTGGGATAGTGTGAAGTTCTGTCTGCGTCACAACTTGCTGAAGTTTCCCACAGATGAAAAGAATAAGCTAGCAGCACCATGTGCTTGGGAAGAGGCATGTCCTCTGGCTGTCCTCACCCTCAACTGGACATCAGTGAAGTTAGCAGTGACAGTAAGGACAGTTAAGGAAAGGTACACACTTGAGGCCCACAAGTTTACCTCACACCAGGGCCCTTCTTCCCACCACTGTCAAAAAAGTCACTGACTGTGTAAAAAGTAACCTCAGTTCTGTCTGAAGTGCTTTGTCAATACAGAGTTTTCTGTCCAACCCCTTGAGAGCTCCTCAACCGCCTCCAACAAACCCGACTGATGTCAGAAAGTAAAATATATGAGTTTGGGTACGGGTTGAGTTTGCCCAGAGGCATGGGACAGAGTGAAAACACTTGTTTTAAAGTTAGTTTAAAATCTTTGTTTTCTACCCTTAGTCTTAGTTTGACACATTTATCATCATCGAACATAATACAGGATACACAGTAGCTTGTCTTAAAAATATGCACATATCAAAGAAAACCGTGATGATATGTGGCTTCACTCCGTTGCAGAACATCGGGCTCTCTGCGTGAAGTCTATGTGCATGAGTTGGAAGAATTTTTTGTATTAGTGAACTATCTTTCCCTCAAGTGCCATGTAACATGAGTCAGAACCAAACATCCAAAAATCAAAAACAAGCCACCAAAAACACTGAAATTACTTTACTATACTTATTATGAACAATAATTTCTGAGGATGAACTTAGGGTTTATAGTGACTACATTAGCAATACTTACTCTGCTTTGCATTTCACATGGGCATACAGTCCTAAAAATGGCCAATTTCTGGATCTTTTGAGCACAGTTAATGAAAACAGACAATTGGAGACATCTATCTATTGAGAAGAAACTGACAGAAGTACTATTTTACATACCACTAGTTGAAATCCTGAACATATGATCAGTAACATACCATATGGTCAGTTTGTAAGATTGAGAAGAATATGTAGTGAAGAATGGGATTATTAAGTAAAGGCTATAGAAATGTGGCGGAGATACTGGGTACCCTGCCCTTTCCGTTCAATGTTAAAAGGACAAAGGTAGGACCTACAAATTATTTGGCCTACGGCACTTAATAGTTCCTTGTCAGTGAGCTTCATAATAGTCTGTTAATGGACTTATGTGATATGATATTATATTATTATTATTTTAAATTTTGTGATATTATTCACATGTATGCTGTTTCTATTATAGTATTTTGTGCAAGATGTTGATTTTATAAAAATTAAAAAAGACAACAAAACGTAAGAGAAAAAATGGAAAGTGGGAGTACATGTGACCTACGCAGTGCAGATTTAGCACACCTGTGAGTGTTTTTGCAATTTCACTGTGTGAACCTGAAGCCATAGGCGAAACGAGTTGTTCCTTAACAAAGATAGTAAAGTCGTTTCAGCGTGCAGTGACTTGTCTTTGATTTTTCATTGCCAAATCCAACAACTTATCAGCACCTGACTTTTGTTGCTGCTCACTTTCTTGTTTTTTATTAGTTTGCTTTGAACATTGACTAAACAACCAATGACTTAAGGCTATGTCATAAATGAAGCTGTGAAGCGCTGTGAATGGGCTGACCGAGGAGTGACACAGAGCGTCACTGACCCGTGGCTTAAATAACGTCTCTATGTAAACCAAATATGCGGTCACAGTGCACTTACAGTATGAGTTCTATACAAGGAAACTCCTCAGGGCATTTCCATTAGCGTCTAGCATATGTGAGGCTACGCTTTGTTGCAATTTGTTATCATGTGTCTCATTATGAGGTTGTTGCTACACCTGATGGATGCATTTAAGAAGTTCTATCCAATGTGTGCTTTCTTACCATTCAAAGTGAATCTCAAAAACATTATGCACAGACATTGTCTACATTGATAACATATCATTAACACAAATATGCTCTTTTCCAGGTCTCCAGCACATTGAGCAGGATGAGAGGGTTTCCATGGGCATTGACGGCAACCTGTACTTCTCTAATGCCTTACAGAAAGACAATCGTCCGGACTACTGTTGCTTTGCCTCCTTCCCCAGAATACGCACCATCGTCCAGAAAAACGCCTTGGCTGTCGTTGTCAAGAGCTGTACGTTTGTAGCAAGTAGTCTATTTAGCTTTAACTGAAATACTGTAGCTCACAGTTTTAGCCTGACGTCAAGGACAGATCTCTGAGACAAAATAATGTGAAAGATCAGTACAGCCCATTTTGGCTTTATTTCAGAAGATATATTTTAAATGTTCCTCCATTGCATACCAAGAAGCAGTGCTTGTCTTGTCATGTTTATGCTCTGCTGTGACACTGGATTGAGCAATACATGTTGGTGAAGACAATGACTACGACTGCCAGTATTATTCTCACATTGTTGTTTCCATTCCAGTGAAACCTGACAATGAATCTGCTGACAGCAGTGCCCGTAAGTGATATTCACACATCAAAGCCTTCCCACTATAAGTCAAAACAGGTGTCATGCAAAGAGGCCGCATAGTTAGGTCTTGTATGTTGCAAAAGGTTGCAGATTGACTGTAATCTTGTGTGTTGATTGTATGACCATTGAAAAAAATTATACAAATGACTGAGAAAGACTGTTCTTTATGTTCAAAGCAGCTGAAGCCCCCCCAGTGAGAATGCCTGGCCTGCTGCTGCCCTCTGGTGTTCAGACAGAGAAGGTGCTGTTGAAGGGAGAGAACCTGCAGCTTGAGTGTATATCGCATGGATAGTATGTATACATGCTGTATCATCCCAACTGCAACCACTTTTTCACTAAAGATAATCTATTATTATATTTATCTACCATTTCAGCTCATAACATGTCTTTGTTTCATGTCGAAGTCCCACTCCGAAGATAGGATGGATGAAATTGGGAGACAGGCTTCCTCCACGGGCACAGCTGAACAACTTTGGGAAGATGTTGAAAATATCTGCTGTAGAAGAGAGTGATGGCGGGAAATACATGTGTACAGCCAAAAACTCTGCTGGAGAGGCTGTCCACTACTTTGACGTAATAGTAGAAGGTGGGTTAACATCAAGAGCTAATTATGCATGAATGTGTGGGGGGTGCTTTTATTTTTATTTTTTGTTTCAAAGAGAATGGTGTTGACACAGGGATGGCAGTTGTTTTGACTCAGACCAACGCAGCTTTTCTTAACATCTCCCAGAGCCGCCAAAGTGGCTGACAGAGCCTCCTCAGAGCCAGCTGACTGTGATCGGGTCTGATGTTCACATCAAGTGCTCGGTCAGTGGAAAGCCACCGCCAGACATAACATGGAGGAGGAATGGAGAAGTTTTCAGAGGTGAGTAGGAATAATTCTGGCTGTTGGTTTATGCATCTTTTGCCATAAAGGGCGGGAGGACAGTGCAGCGAGCAGCTGCACCAAACTTTGACCTCACAGCCCTCAGTTCAAGTCCACAAGTAGCTGCTATTGGGTTCTTCAAAGCTCATGAGACAAGCTTGATTTCTTGACAGAGAATGATTTGTACATTTTCAGAATTTAGAAGACAGACTACTCTGAATTGAAGTATACACTGGTGCCATAAAAAGTAATAGTCCTCTTCTCTTTACTGATTATTATTTGCACATAAAAGAAAATGTGACCAAAAAATGTCTTGCTGCCAAAATGTCTGAGTAAGAATGATTTAATTTGATTATTGTTAAATGTCTTAGCTGGAAATACAACACAATCCTGCAGGAGTGGTGTAGTGGTGTAGTCTAGAGGTTACGGGTTGATATTGGCTTAAGATAGATATACTGGAGTCGGAGTATATTGTACAACGTGACAGTATGCAAAAAGAAACTGCAGTCCATACTGTAAATGTTTTCAAGGATTTGATCTATTCTTACGATTATATTTCTTAACAAATATCATTTCAAAATGATTTAATTTCCAGTGAAATTTGCTTTTCAAAATTTACCATCAAACCTTATATTTACACATAAGCTGTAGTTTTAAGCTGTAGTTTTTTGTTCAGCTGCAAAATGTCCTGCCTCAGTAGATGTCTTTGGGTCTTTCTTTATGTTAGGTGTTTGTGTAAAAAAGAAATATTGGCCGACACACTTTTTTAACGATTATTTTCAGTATGGGTTAATCTGACAATTTTGTTTTATTAAATGATTAATTTTTTGGTTATAAAATGTCAAATGATGTCAAAATTCAATCCATTTTCTTCCTACTAACAGCCAAAGATATTCAGTTTATATTGTTAGAAAACTCAGAAAAGTAAATATTCACATTTAAGAAACTAGAACCAGAGTGTGTTTGTCATTTTTGCTTGAAAAAGTACTTGTACAGTTTGTTGATTATCAGAATTGTTGCCAGTTTTCTGTTGATTGATTAGTCAACTAATCGTTTCAGCTAATATTGACATTAGTGTTAGCCTGAAAAAACATGTTATGTTTAAGTGCAGTCCTTGTAAAATGATTTTGATGTTATGTTTCTTTGTCTTTATGTTGCCGTCAGATGACCCATCCAGTGACACACGAGTGCTTGATGATACTGTGGTGATCCATAACGCCAGGCCAGAGGACAGTGCTGTCTACCAGTGTGAAGCCTCCAACAGTCATGGCAGTATTCTGGCCAACATTAACATCATGATCATGAGTGAGTATTACAGTCCTGCACAACCAGCGAGGACATAGTTACTACCTAATAAACACAGAGGCCACTTTATCAGGTACACCCTGAGTCTGGGAAATGTTGTGCAGTTTATGTGGGCTAACTAGCATTTCACAGTTCCTTCAGATTTTGAGCTAGTTCATTCCCTCTTCAAACCTTGTTTTATCTGATCCCAAACTTTCTAATGGTCCATTATCATCCTGGAGGCGTTTGCCAAAGGTAACATATTGCCTTTTTCCCCTGTCCCTGAGAAGTGCTTCCTTTAAACAATTTGTATATGCTGTCCTGTCTGTCTAGGTCTTCCTATTTTCTTTTATTTTTGTTAACTTATCTTTAAAGTTTCTAATTGTCTGTGACTGAAGCTGCCCGTTACTGGAAAGCCACACTCTTTGACCCAAATGTCCAGTTGGTCAGTGCTTTGGTTACCATAGTTGTTAATCATGTAATCAATACTAACTATTAACTCCATTACTGGAGATATCAGAGGATCTCGTTCCTTTTAGCTGTTAGTTGAACCCATTTTCTTTGTTTAGTTCTTAAATACCAAATTACCCAAGTGTAATAAAAATGTCTCTCTTCTCTTTAGGCATTTAACTAAGAATTAATTTACTAAAAATCTCATTTTGTTTTGAATTTTGGGAGGTTTGTTTTGTCTTACACTTATAAGGACCTTGAAGCGTCTGCTTGGGAAAAGATTGTTAACAGATCTGTAATTTTGAGGGTTTTTTTATAACTCTGTATTTTCTATATCATGGAAAAGCTTTTATACTGAAAAAACGTTTTTATTCTGTTTACAAAAGCATTTGTTCAACATTCACACATGTTCTGTTAGTTTGGTTTTTCCTCATTCACAATTCGTTCACACAAGGCTGTTTTCAGATCTCACTCAATTTTTTTTCATTCGCAGTTCAGTCATACATCTGCAGTAAACACATCCAGCATTCAACAATACTGTATATCTACTTTGGATTCCCTTAGAATACCATCCCCAGTAAAAACCCTTTTTACTTAAATTTTGTATTGACTCCTGTGACTCACACACCTCTCTTTTTATTATGGGTCCCAGACCCAAAAGAAAACACAACACAACAGTGATTTCCTGACTATAGTACTTTTACACCAAAGCTTTGTGGATTCACCCAGGCCCAACCTGTTGACACGTCTGTCACGTACACCCTGTTTGGTAGCGAGAATCGTTTCACTTGAATAGCCTACTCACCAAAAAGAAAGTGTTGCCAGCCATCAGGTTCTTATGGATCACAGCGGTGAGCAAGCCTCGGACACTCAGGCATCTCACCGATAGTTTGGAGGAGAGGTTTGAAGTCCAGAGCCCAAGACTCCAGCCGTGCACGGTTTTACCTTCAGCTCCGAGTGTCAAAGTCTTCTCACGCGTGTGATCCTGCCAACAACGGCAAAATTTGTGATGGCATTTCCAGTTTTCAAATAAACAGCTTAGGCAAACACTTGTCTTTCTGTGAATTTTATTTAAGTCTTCTGCAGAAGGAACTCACTGGGACTAACACGCATCAGAGTATAATCCAAGTGAGCTGCAGTGTCTCAGCAAATGCAGCTTTTATCCTAATCTCAGGATCATCACTATCTTACCACTGGAACATGTTGTCTTTCAGAGGTCCTCTGGAGGACATTCAATCTAAATCTATTGAAATGACCCCCTAGGCACATCGTAAAGCATCACACACATTTGCCTCCCACTGACTCGGTACCCGATTAACCAGAGGCCCTCAGTGAGTAACATTAATTACATGACTGTGTTTGGAGATGGTACTCATGGAATTCCCATTACACTATGACAAACGGAGCCTGGACAGGGTTTATATTAGATGCAGCCTATTTGGAACATTCTTTCACTCTTCTATAGAGCTGCAACAATAGTCAATTAATCGATTAGTTGATCAAAAGAAAAAAATATATTTCGATAACCGATTAATGGTTTAATTTTTTGGTTGTCATTTTTCAAGCAGAAAATGTCAAACATTTGCTGGTTCCAGCTTCTTAAATGTAAGGATTTGCTGTTGTTTGTTGTTTATGATAGTAAATGAATAATCTTTGGGTTTTGGACTGTTGGTTGGACAAAAGAAGCAATTTGAAGAGGTCACTTTGGACTCTGGGGAATTTTTTATATGTTTTTGACATTTTATAGACTCAACAATTAGTCAGTTAATAATGAAAATAATCAGAAGATTAATCAATAATGAAAATAATCATTAGTTGCAGCCCTACTTATCACTCAATTTTTGCTCCCTTGCTTACTGTAACTTCCTATTGGGTGACAGATGTAGCTCTGCATGTTTGTATTACTCGTGATTTGTCTGTTGGCACAAATGAGGAGTTTTGTCCCCAAGCTGATATATAACTGGATCTTTTATTTGTTGTAATATTCCTTAAAAGATATATGGCATATGGCTGCATTTATATAGCGCATTCATCCAAAGCACTTTACAATTTGCCTTTCATTTACCCATTCTCACACACACACACACACACACACACACAGGCAGTGAGCCACCATTCAAGGTACTGGACTGCACTTTCAGGGTTCAGTGTCTTGCAACACGCGGACAGGAGAAGCAGGGGATCCAGCCACCAAGCCTGTGATTGGTGGATGACCTGCTCTACCTCATGAGTCACATCCACTGCTATTAAATATACAACCTTGAACAAAAATGCCAGGCAGTCAGTCCCCTCTCAGATTATATGGCTCAAGTATTTTGCACTCACCTATTTCCATTATAACACTCAGTTCAATATCACTTGTTAGCAGGTCTGTGTACTGTGTACTTAATGTATGTGAGTCACCGTCTGGAGGAGTAGACTTAACTTCAGTGGAGGTGTACCTGATAAAGAGGCCATACAGAGAGTGCCCCCTCCTGGGTAGCTTTTGTTCTGCTAGCTGTAGTCTGTAATTCATTGCAATCTAATTGTTTTCATTTGTGTTTCAGAAAAATGAGGCATTTTATGATCAGCGTTCTAACATAAATGAGTATCTACTGCAGTACTAATTATGGGTAGCTGGAAGCTTTCTATCTTTGTGATTATCGATTATCAATTTATTTTTGTTTATTATTTTCTTGATTAATTGTTAATTGAGTGGCCTAAGTACAAAAAAAGGCCCATCACAATTTCCCAGAGCCCAAGTTTACATATTTAGCTTGTCTTGTCTCGTCTCATCAATGGTCCAAAACTCAAAGATTTTGCTTTTACTATCTTAGAAAACTAAGAAAACAGCCAATATTCACATTCTAAAATTTGGAATTAACAAAAAAAAATGTTGGCTGGCAATTCATTTTCTGTCGATTCATTGATTGATTGACTAATTATTTCAGCTCATAATACAACTAAATCGATAACTAGTAACTTGACATTTAAGCAGCTGTAATTTCCTCTTTCCACTTGCTCCCAGATATAACTCCTCAGATACTGACAAGGGACTACCAAGAGTATGCTGTAATACTGGGAGGGGACATCATCATGGACTGCAGTGTTTTCAGCTCTCCACCACCCTCCATCAGTTGGTAAGTGACCAGGGAGAATAGGTATTAGTTTCACAAAACATTTTAACACATATTGTCCCACGTATTGCAGACAGGAGAATGTCACCCCTTCGTTCTGTGTGATATGTTTTCTTCAGTTAACTGTGGTTTTTATTATTTAAATCACTGTCAGTCAGTTCGGTGTAGTTTGCAGATGTCTGTGCTGTAGTCTAGAGAATGAACCAGAGCACATATTGTATCACAGCAGTGAGTCATGCTATTAATCCCACACTGCTTCAGGTGTCTGCATGACATAGTCTGATGTTGACACTTATGTCTGTTTAATGAGATAATCCTCTTCCATTCCTTGAAATCGGGCTAATTAAATCCTATCAAGCACCACTGCTGTTCTGTTACATTTCTACGGAAGGGTAATAGGATCTCAGACAGTCTATGACAACACGCAACGTTACAAAGACCTTCACTATATTAGGATAGTTCTTCTGATTTTAATAGATGATATTCCACTTGAATTCAACAATCTTAAGCATAATTTGTTTTATGCTGTAACTCAAACCTGCCTGAGTAATCCGAAACCAGAAGCTTTAGTTCAGTGTTTATTTTGTATAGAAAGAATGTTGATTTATTTCAGTTGAAATTCAAGGAAAGAAAATAAATATTGAAGATAATATGGATTGAAGACGAATTCACCTGGACTGACAAAAATTAAATAGACAAGATTAACTTGTCCAGGGTGTGCCCGCCTCTCGCCCAACTCCAGCTGGGATTGGCTTCAGCATCCCTTGCGACCCGGTACACAGGATAAGCTGTTGACGATGGATGAATGGATGTAGCGAAATGGCACCTTAACTTCTGCTGTCGGATAAGTTGTACCAACACTCATAAACACTTTCTTTCCTAGGACCAAAGATGGGCTTCCAGATACCATCGAGGGGGAACGGGCTTTTGCTCTCCAAAATGGATCTTTGCAAATCTCCAATGCAGAAAAAAACGACAATGGGAAATATTCGTGTATTGCCTATAACACGGAGGGCTTGTCAGCCGTCAGTGCTGTGCTTCATGTGAAAGGTATCTCAGCAACATGATCAGTGCTTTCTAAAGCAGGAGTAGTACTAGTCACTGCACACAATTATTCATTAGAAGGCCATTTTGCCCAAATGATAAACAATTTCTGCTTAGCTAGACCAGTGAATTCAAGGTGAATTGACCCTTTAACGTTAAAGTCAATAAAAGTGGGGTTGTGTTATAACCACACGTGGCCTAGAAGATTTGTGACTGATACATACAAACCTGCAAGTTTGAGATCTGGGAGGTAGAATCCTTGTTTTATTTTATTTTCACAAAGCTCTGCTGTGAATGATCAAGTAGTTACAAATAAGTGGTCTGACTCCATCAGGGCATCTGAAATATGTTTGTGGTGAAAAGCCAATAAATATCTTTAGACTTTAAATTCATCTTTCATTGAAGTAAAAAAAAAAAAAATATGCAGCATAAATAATGCGGTGGAACATTTTGTAAATATATTTTCATGGACATTTCATAAATGCAAATTACCATGGACATTTATTGAGCAATGTCAAGACATTTACACTTTTATTACCGATTTTACTCACAAGGCAGTTACTTTGAGAAAAACTCATTTACAAAGTAAATAATTTGGCTCAGCTTCAGATATTCACATCTTATTTGAAGCATGCAGGAATTATGAATAATAATAGCCTAACAAGTCATTATTTTATGTTTAATGTATGTGCTGTTTGTGGCTTTCCCCCCCCTTATTTTTAGACCCCACGAAAATAATAAATCCACCTCAGGATGTACAGATCATCAGTGGGACCACAGCTCAGTTGATGTGCCAGGCAGAGTATGATAAAAGCCTGCTGGGCACCTTTGAGTTGGTATGGAGGAAAGATGGGAAGGAGATCCCACTTTCCTCTGAGGAAAATTCCAGGTAGGTGGCTGTGGTTTGATAGTGTTCCCATTAGTTTTCAGGGGCGCTTGTGTTTAAGATGGCTTTGTTTGGTGCCTTTATCTCTATGCTAATGCAAGGGAAGAAAAGTGCATTACAACTCCCTAAAAGATTTGTACCTTATCCTGATCAGTAGAGGGTCAAATACAGGGGATTTTGCTGGTCTTTTGTCTGCTTGATAAATGACTGATAACCTCCTTGGCAGAGGTAATAATTTTGTTTGCCTGGTTATTTGTTATCTAAAAAAAAATGCATCAAACAGTTAGGCACATAAATACATATCTGGAGATAGATACACACAAAATGTGCATATTGATGCTGATCCAGACTGAGGTATACAGGGAAAAATTTGAACTTTCCCTAGTGTTAAAATCAATGGCTAAGGACTATGCAGATTTGGTGGAGGTATCTGCTCACCGACTACTTTCTTCTTGATTGAATTTACATTCCAGCTATATACTTACCAATGTGCTTATATGTTCAGATATTTTGTGGCCGATGGTATGCTGCACATCATGAATGTGAACCTGAGTGATCAGGGAATATACACATGCATTGCTAGAACCAGCCTAGATGAGGACAATGCTACTGCACTGCTCACCGTACTGGGTAAGAGGGTTTGTAAATAACATAGTATCGAATCATCATTAATTATTGATTACACATTCTTTGAAAAGAACTTTGAATATAGACCGATATAAATTATTTAGTCCGAAGTGCTGCATTGTGACTTGGATGCCTGGTATTGATGTTTTGGGTATTACATTTGCTACTAAACAACTAATGTGTTGTAAATTTGTGTTGCAGACGTTCCTGATGCTCCCCAAAATTTAGAGATATCTGAAATTAAGAGTCCGAGAAATGTTCGCCTGTCTTGGGTACCAGGGAGTGATCATAACAGCTCGGTAACAGGTAAAAGTGAAAGTAGAAGAAGTAGAAAATCTGAGGTCTGAAAGGGAGTCGGGGCTGCTAAATAATGCAGAGAAACAACATTTACTCAAGAGATCATCAACAGTTGCTTCTATACTTTGTACTGTTGTGAATGTTAGCCGTTACACTTCAGATCACATCCTATAATGGTGTAATGACAATGACAATTATGGGCCCATGCCATCTCTGGCCAGCCCTATGACACTCCCCGGTTGAGCAAATGTAATATAATGTCTGAACACACACACACACACACACCCTAAAGTCTGCAGACTTCTGTTAAAAACTGGATTAGAATTGTTCTTTGATGCAAGTTCTAATTCAGTTACTGTACATGACTAAATTATGTCACATCTCCTTTGTTGTGAAAAGGAGAGATTTTGCTGCAAATAGCCTTGAAGTACTGAGGACCCTGGCAGGGAAGCTTATTTCAAATGCTTCAAAAAAGGGACTAATTTATTCTGGGAACTTAGTGATGATAAGAAGTTATATTAACTGATAAATGTATCCTCTTGTAGGCTTTTAATGTTTGCTAGCTTTGGAATGTGTTATCTATGATCAGATATTAGAATAGACATGCCTGAAGAAGATCCCTTGTTAGAGTGAAATGCACAGTCATTTTATTTGTTTAATTAAGAATCTTCGAGCAATAGACATCAGTTGAGGCCAGGTCTTTTCTGAACAATCTCTGTATATCACACAGTTCGGCTCAGCACCAGGTGGATGTGTGTAGAAATATTCATTTAATGTAATTGGTTTGCTAGGGAAATTGCCAAAAGCTATGACTGTGTCTGAAATCACTCCCTTGTTTACTCATTGATCATTCCCCACATGATAAATAGTCATTTGGGTACTCTTAGCAAGTAGTTAACTGAGACGCTTATGAATCATCCTAATTTTTGATACACTTAGTGTTGCATAACTAATTTATACATCTTTCATTTCAGAATCAAGGATTGAGCCATGCAGTAGGGGATTTTTGGCAAAACGTATTTATAGTTTAGTTGCAATAGCTTATTTCTTTGGCCTCTCGGGAAAGCGGAAACAAGTTTTGATTGAGCAAGTCGTGACAACATAATACTGACTGAGTTGATCTGGTGAACTTGTTAGCAAACAGTAGCTTATTTACACACCCAGCGACATTGTCATTTATTTGGAGTCATGTTTCTGGCCACGTGCTGAACGCATGTCCAATATTCACTCTTGTTTTGCTCTGGTTTCGGTCTCCAACTCCTGAATGGAAATAGCTGGCTCCTTAGCTGCTAAATGCTCCACTGTGTGTTGTTCACCAGCTAAGTTTGTCTGTTGTCTGGTGCTGAGCAGATAGTGTAGGGTTTTTTGATCACTCCGCTGCAGCAGGTACTATGAGAACTGTAAAAGTAAACCAAAACAGCAAAGTTGCATGCCGGACAGTTAAGCAGTTGAGCTGAAACACGAAATAAACCTGTTAGGCTGAGAAGAGGTTCATCACTAAGTGCGACCGGTTTTTCATCGTCAAATTATTTTATTTAAGTTTAAATTTTTTTTGATTAAATCTGCTTCAAATCTATTTCTGAGGGTGCAAATTTACATTTGAATGAAATAACAAAAAGATAATTTAATACTGTATTGCATTGGTGCAGGAAAGTAACTTTTTAAGCTATAGTTCAAAGTTGTGAAGTTTTGGGAGATGCACTTTTTTAGATGAGATTAATACCACTCGTCTGTGAATTAAGTACAAAGCTGGAGTCAGGAGGCAATTAGCCTAGCTTGGCATAAAGAATGGAAAGCCAGGGGAAAACAGCTAACCTTGTTCTCTCTAAAGTTAAAAAAAATTCTCTTTCCCCACCCCACATAAGCTTTATGATAAGGTAAGCTAATCGCCCCAGACTCCAGTTTTGTACTTAATGCACAGACATGACATTGACATCTATCCTCATCAAGTCTCAAAGAAATCAAATAAATAGTTATTAGATGGTTGAACTATGCCTTACTGGCCTAGTAAAAGCATTAAACGTGTACTGTAATCAATAATGTATCATGGACTGTACTTTAAGTGAAATTAATAAAATGAGTTTAATGCATGCTTTCTCAGCAGTTGTGATTATCACTTGTATGGTAATGATTGAATGTGTATGTGTCTCTTCTTCGAGCACAGAATTTATAGTAGAGTATGAGGAGAGCCAATGGGACCCTGGCAAGTGGAAGGTGCTACAGAAAGTACCCGGTAACCAGGCAACAGCAGAGCTTGCACTACATGGACACCTAAACCACCAGTTCAGAGTTTATGCTGTTAATGCCGTTGGACCTGGACCCCCCAGTGAGCCAACTGAGAGATACAGAACACCCCCTGCTGGTGAGACTCGCTCCCTTTAATTAACATTTCCTGCTGTGGTTATCTGTTGATTGTGAAAGCTTGCAAAGTTTTAAAATCTTTAAAATTGTGCAGAGAGGTGCTGTGTTTAGAGGCCAGCCTTTGGCTACAGGACTTTGTAGTGGTAGGGAGAGTGGATATTTCTGAGTCTCAGAAGCCCTAAAAAGCACCAAGTATTAAATCCAGCACATGTTGCTGCTTAACCATGGTTGCTTAACCATACTACACTTGCCAAAAAGTCTGTTTTGGCTTAACAAAATGCATAGATATGTTATGTTAAACGCTGACTTAGGAAAACAGGGGATTTGGACCCAGGCGCAGACACCAGGCAGAGCAGATACAGTTTAGTTAATTGACACAAGGTGAAACTTACAAGTGAGATGAGGCAGGCAGTTCAAGATAAAGCAACACAAATCCAGAAACACAGTCAATAAGCCAGAATCCATTGAGGAACAGTGTTGAACACTAAACATAAACTGAGAAGTAGTGTTATGAACTGGTAGAGTGAGGGGAGCACACCAACTAAGTACCCTCTTGAGAATGAGATAACAAGACACAGGTGAACTTAATCACGCAATCAGGGAGCACACAGACAGGAAGCAAAACATGACAGTTACACCATGGGCTGGGCAACTTCAAAATAAAACAAGAAACAAGAAACAAACAAAATCATTCCAAAGCCGTGGAAGATATTTGCATTTTAGCAGTAAAATACTACAGTCTAAAATAGTCAGAATCCTTCATGCTATTTTTTCATTTGTTAATATATGATTATGTAACTTCTCTTCAAAGCCCCTGATAGGAACCCAGAAAACATCAAAATTCAAGGTCATCATCCTTATCAAATGGACATTAGCTGGGAGGTAAGAGAAAGAGAATATGTATCTATAAGATTGTAGAAACCATTAGAGTATGCAAGATTTCTAAGTCATCATCACACTGTCCTGTTGTAGCCACTGTTGCCCACTGAACACAATGGCCCAGGCCTGGAGTACAAGGTGAGCTACAGGAAACTTGGGGTGGAAAACAACTGGACTGACCATCTAGTCAGAAGACACCTTTTTGTTGTGAGGAACACATCTGCTTTTGTCCCCTACGAGATCAAAATTCAGAGCAGGAACAGCCACGGCTGGGCACCAGAACCTAAAGTTTTTACTGGTTACTCTGGAGAGGATGGTGAGTTATAGATTTAATACTTCCTCTACTGTATATATTCACATCATTCATATATTTAATGACAGAATTTCAGTATATATGTTTATATGTTTATATGCAACTCACTTCACTTCTGCTCTTTCATTAAACCATACCTTAAGGCTAAACTAACACATGTAGCTGTTGTTTTGCTTGTGACTTACTGTGAACTCTTTGTGTTATCATATTCTACCCTGTCATCAGTCGTCTTTTGGCATTGTCTGCGGGAAAATGTGTCAGGTTAAGTTTTTTCCTTTTTTCCTTTTGCCCATTGTTTTAACCCCGTGCAGGTGCGCAGTAGTGACTTTTCCTCCCCTCTGAAAAAAGACAAAAAAGAATAAACCCCTTTGCTGAATCCAGCGGGAGGCAGATAGCCTTTGTAGAGCAGAGGGATGTCAAATTTCCACTTCTGTCTCAGAAGCTGTGGGAGATTTGACAGATCACGACACACTTTGTACTGTAGACTTACTGAAGCACAATGGCTACTTTTCTCTCTAGTGTGTGCATTGCTTCTGTCCTTTCCTACTACCAGTACATTAACATGTAGAGAAGAAAGTACTGAGAGCATTTTCATTTCATGTTATGTGTTGGATTTATTACTGCTGAAAGTATAAAAAATACTCCAGATTTGAACAATGAAGCTGCCTAATTTGGTGTCCACCTGAGTATGTATTTGTGCACATTATTCTGATCTACCAGCATCACTGTTTTTACTTACCTCTTTCACCAGAAACAGATCATTTCTGAACAGTCTAAATCCAAAGAATATAAACAACTGTATTGTTTCATTATGGTAGGGATAGTCTCTGCAAAAGTGGCCTGTTGTCTGTATTTCTGACTTTCCTCTATGTGTTCTTCAGTCCCTACTGCAGCACCACGGAATGTAGCAGTGGAGGTGATCAACACCACTGTTCTGAGGGTTAGCTGGACCCCGGTTCCACCTGCCACAGTGAGAGGTCATCTAGGGGGCTACGATGTAAGTTTTCATGGTCTGAAAGCTTGATTTCTTTTACTCTACATTGTATAACTGACTGACTTTCAATGGCAACAGAGAGACTCTAAACAGCAGTGTTTTTTAGTGCTAACATATTACTTAGGCTGATGATACATGGGGCAACTTTTTGAGCAATGTTGCTGGGCAATCTTGTTAGAGGCAAGTCCGACTGTGTTAAAATGGATAGCGGCGGTGTGGGGCAGGTGGCGGGTTGCGGTGGGAAGGGGATTACGGTAGTAATCTTTACCCATTACCATTGACGACAATGTTGCCCTGCACGATTGCTGTAAAAGTTGCTCTGTGTATCATCAGCTTTAGTGCTTATATGAGATAGATACAAAGAGGTAATTAGCGTTAGTGTCATGAATAATGTAATATATAATGTGCAGTAATGACCTAATATCGACTTAGTAATCCGACCTATACAAAAATGACTGGTCTATGGGCACCTGCCGTTACTTACTAGATAATACTGGTGCCAAAATATAATGAGCTGCAGTTGCTACGGCTTTGTAAATGCAAACTAGCTAACTTACTCTCTAATCTGTAATTATAGCTTTTAGGTATTACTGTAATCTAACATAAAGTGCTATCAGTGTTTTCCTTTAAGTAACGACCATTATTGTTATAGTTCTTAAAGAACAGCAGGCTTCAAATAGTTGTTAATAATACTTGCTTAGATTTAAAAGGTTAACTTGGAAGGTCAAAATCATTTACCTGAATTACCCGGTGAAAATTTATTCTACCAAATTTTTTTTAAAGTCTCATTATGTTACCTATTCCCTATCCGTTTTCACTTACCTGTCTTTAGTGTGTCATAACCAAAGAAAGCTCACCATGAAAGAGACACCACTGATTTCCACTGTTTTGTCTTTTGTGTGCCGTTTTCAGCCAATAATGTAAATGCACAAACATTTTAATGTAGCAGGAGACAACTGAGACAACTGAAAATGTTGATTATGTGATTTTACAACAGTGTATCTTCTCCTTGTTTTAGTTGCTCCCCCATACCTGATTCAAATATTTTAAAGGAGACCTGTTATGCTGCATATCCAGTCCTATATGTTGTTCTGTGACTCCTGTATGACAGCTTTGCATGATTCAAGGTTTAAAAAAAAATCATTTTCTATCTTATACTGGCCCTTCATGTAGGCCTTCATTTCAGCCTCTGTCTGAAACAAGATGTGGATGCTCCTGTCTCTTTAAGGCCCACCCTCTCAAACTCCACTGTCTTCTGATTGGTTACTGTCTTCTGATTGGTCAAGACCTGAAGCATCTTACCAGGCTGTTGTTACCCTGAGCTATACAATACTGGCTCCATGTAGTTAGTAGAAAAAGCAGTTTAAAACAGAGCGTTCAGAACAGGAGGAAATCAGAGGTTTTGGCTCACAAGGATTTCTTTTAAAACTTTTACCTAATTATTTGAACCTGTGGCCATGTTTAACATGAACATCCAACATTGTAACATTGTATATAAGTCATTAAATATAGAAAAGCATTTAAGCAAAGCTTCCATAGTATTGTGAAAATATAATGCTGATTGTATAATCAAATAGGAATATTATGAGTGGCACATTAATATTGATTTAAAGCATAATACTCACTCTAAAAGAAACATTAAATGTCAGTTAAATTTGACAAATTAACATCTGTTAAGGACAGTCATTATAGTAATTAGCCCAAAGAGATTCAAACCCCCCTAACAGCCGTTTTCTGAGTGGTGTACTTTTTCTGGTGGAATGATTTTGTCATTAGTAAGGTAAGCAGTAGCAGTCACAACCTGTGGAGGATGAACTCAACAATAGGATTACTGCATGTGCTCACAGAAGCACCAGTTTTAAGAGAAGTAGCAGTAGACTGAATTAAGCAAGAAATAAGTTCACAGATTGCATTTTTGCAGACTGGTGTATGATTTGTTTATTTAGTTTTTAATCTAATACAATACCTGTAAAACAAATTATATTTTCCTTGCTTTCTTTTTTTAATTTCTTTTTGGCACATTTTCCTTACTTCTCTCTGTCACCTGTGTTGTCATTAAAAGTGTTTACACAGCACAGTGGTTGACAGTGTGACAATGACAACGTGAAGTAGCTGTTTTAACATATACCATCACTTGAAGCTTCATCTCAAATTCACAGTTCATATGTGATGCAGGCTTTAATTGCTGCTCCTCAACATATCCCTTTTCACTGTTGTGTCTCACTTTCGGTCTCTCATTCTTATTCCCTTCCTTCTCCTCTCTGTGGTCTCTCAGACTTGTTCCTCACCGTTGTCCATTCATCTCACAGGTTCAGTGGTTGAGAAAACGAAGTCTGCTGAATCCCAACAAGATTTTAGATGAGTGCCAGTCTCTGTCTTTTCCTGGGAATAGGAGTCACGCAATTGTGTCGGGCCTCCAACCTTTCTCCGAGTACAGACTCACTGTCAATGTTTTCAACAAGAAGGGGAAAGGACCCAACAGTGACCCGGCCACTTTTAACACTACAGAGGGAGGTGAGGCAACGCAAACACATGGTGGACATTGACTCAGGCAACTTGACAAGGAATTTTAACAACAGCACACATTTCATTTCCGGTGAAGTCCTTCTCCTCTCAATAATGTGTTTTGCTTATTGTTACTTCACTTTGATCTTTGTGCTTCGCTGTGCAGAATAATACATGTGCAGAGTTTGACAGTAGAAGGCTGTTTTCACCTTCATCTGCTGAAGGGGGAAATGTTTTTGTGCTCACCTTAACTCTGAGTTTAAGGCGTGCAAGCATGATTCTGTGACATCACAACTAGTTTGGGAATCAATCATGATCCAGGATGCAACTTACACAAGAGTGATGTGGACTGTTGAATGTCCCTTTCAGTGAAGTAGGACACATTTTGTGTCCAGTAATTAAACTTGAGAAATGAAAAACACCTTTATATTTATAGATTCTGACAGCATGCTTTTCATCTGTTTAACAAATACAAAAAGCTTAAAAAAAAGTTGAATGCACAGAAAAAATATCATGCATGTAAAGACACTTGACATGAATCTTAACTTATTTGGACATGACTGACTGTCATGATTCAAGCATCCTAGAACTATTTTTGGACACTAAAACATACTGCCACTCATTTTTAACCACCTCCAATTAAATAATAAGCTGCTAGAGAAACATGTCTGGACAGTAGATGCATTGACATTACTGTTGTTTTCATAGTTCCTGAGCAAGTGCCCATCCTGACTGCCTCCAACGCCCAGAGAGACTCCATTCTGCTGGTATGGGGCCCACCATTGGAGGCAAATGGCATCCTCACTGGTTATCTCCTGCAGTACCACCTCAGTATGTACACACACACACACACACACACACTATTGTTTGACTAACTGCTCATTGGCTTAAACAGTACAGACTATACAAGGCTTTTCATTAATAGATAGATTAATTTCTCTTTGCTGTCGCTCAGTGCTATGTGTGAAGTGCGTGAAGTGTAATCAAGAGAGTAGCTGCAGTGTTAGTGGAGAGCAGGTGAGAAAAGATCAAGTCGGAGGGGAGGAAGTGTCGAGGGGGTGTATCTGAGATACTGTATAACAGTTTACTTTTAGTGCCTACGGATTTGATGCTCATTTGATAAACCTGAAAACATACTGCATACACTACCCTCTCTGTTGTGTTATCATTCCAGACACTAGGTTGCACTGTTTAACCCCAAACACTCCAAAATGGTCTGCAACAGTCCAATTGAGCAGGGTACTTTACATTGTGGTTTGACAGTTTCCTCTGTGTTCCTTATCTCCTTTCCTCCTGGACTGGTTCTCTTCCAAAAGGATAATTTAAGCCTGTGCCGTTTGTGCCTCTTCTACAAATTTCTTTGGCATTTGTCACTCAGCAGCATTTCAGAAGCAGAACCCCACCTTTAGGCTTACGCACCGTTCGGGTGAACGAATGAGGGGCTTTCATTAGGTTTCTTCCGTTTTCAAAGGCTACACTCTTGTTGGCTGACATTTCTGAAGTCTTTTGTGTAAAAATGTGAAGGCAGAGACAGCCCGTTGCCGCCTCCACCAGTGCCCACGGAGTCTGGCCAGCTCTTCAATACACTCTGTCCCCCTCTCCTTTCGGCTTTTTGCCATATCAGATGTCAGACTTTACACAGATATTCCCACACAGTGCAATCTGTGGGTGTTGGAGGTTTTTCGGTTGAATTGATTCAACATGTAACTCAAGCATATTTAAAAAAAAATAATAAAAATTCTGATAATTCTGTGAATGTAATATAATAAATGTCGTACTACATGCACAGTGTGCACATCCAGGTGAGTCGTGAAACTGCTGTGTAATTAATCAATGACTGTGTTCACAAACACATAAAATATCCAGCTTTCTGTGCTGCAAACAAATATCTGTTTTCCGAAGCAGCACCAGGCTTGGCACACATTCAGTTCTCACCTGCATGTCAACATTAGCACAGTAATCACATCAACAAAGGGGGTTTCAGGAGAAGTATGCTGCTTTCTACAGTCTGCACACATACTGTACACATACTTTGATCTGTAATATGAGTTTGGCGATGCATTATGCTGCTTGTGATTTCTTCAATTCTGATTTCTTTCTACTGCTTCTCCTTATGTTTAATTTTTTTCTTTTGTCTCTCTTTGTCTTCCTTGCTTGGTTTTTCGACCTGTTCTTATAATTTTTTCCCTTTCTTTTAGTTTTTATTTCAGCTTTTCCTTCATCATGTCTCTTCCATTTCCTCCTCCTCTTTTTCTTTTTTCTTTTCTCTTCCTCCTTTCATCCATTGCCACTTGTTTATACCGCACCCCACCTTGAGCTCTTTATCTCGTCCTCTTTCATCTCCTCTCGCCTTTCTTCATAATGTATTCCTCCTCAGCTCACCTGTCACAACATGTATCCTCTACATTTGACACTTTTTTGCATGAGCTAGCATGACATCTCTCCATTTTCCCGCTCCCTCAACAATTGACCCTCATTATAGCTGTGTTTCATTAACATACACCATGAGCCAACAGTTATTATAGGTGTAATATCTTATCGAAATACTTTAAGACACTGTAAGAAAACAAAGAACTCAAACAATAGGTTAGTGCAATGGTGGAAACAGCATCTTACGAATGTATACTATAGAATAAGTAGCGATCAGTTCCTCCAGTTTCCAGTTTTGTTTACTTTTTTCTGGATTTATGTATGGGAGTCTGCCTCCATAATATAAAAATACATGTATGCCATGTGCCAGGCCTTTCAAAAACTGATAAAAAATTTAAAAAAACAACAACATTGATGACTTTTTCTGCATCTGTCCGTCGTATCCTCACTCATGCCATGTGAAATGACCTGACATCTTTCTCTTTCCTCTATAGTTAATGAGACCACACTGGAGGCGGTTGATTCCCAGGAGATAAACATCACTGGGGCTGACACCACCCAGCGGAAGCTTGAGGGCTTAGAGGAAGGCAGCCTCTACCGCTTCCGCCTCAGTGCGTGCACTCGAGCAGGTTGTGGACCTCCGTTGGCCCAGGAGAGTAGCACCGTTGTTGTTGCGGGTGAGTAGATGAAATCCATGTACCTGTCAGGGTAGTCTGTCTAGTAAGATATAATTTGCATTGGTGTGTGTATGAAAGGCCCACCAGTTTTGAAGCATACAGTTGCACACTCATAGACTGTAAAAAAAGAAGTGGACGTAGTCACCCATTAGTTTGTGGACTGCTGTTTTGAAGCCACGAGTTTGGCTGTTAGGTAGCCGTCATGTTGATTTTTTGCAACCAGCGGACCTGGATGTAACCATATTTGGATAAAACGGTGGAGCCAACGGCTCTGTGTGGAGCTAGCCAGCTTGGTTAGCAAGGTGCATCTGTATTTCACGTTAATGGTCATTATAACAGGGATGATAATTTTGTCTAGCGAACGAGAGGCTTAAAACAAAATGTACTCACCAGAGAAAATGAACAGTAAACTCCTAATAAGCTTTTTTAGCGGTGCAGGTTAAATCACTGTAGCATGATTGAAAGGTCGCCATGGTAATAACTTGTCAATCACAAAATAGTCCCGCCCTAAAGCATACTCTGCTTTCTGGTCTATTTTCCTCTAAATTGGACCATAATTTACTAAATGAACATCTTGTTGTATTAAAGAAGACATGAAACTAGTGATTGAAACAATAAACTCATTATGAAAGTGTTTACTGAGGTAATAAATCAGCTGAGAAGTAGGGTCATTTTATCATTATTTCTAATGGAACTGTACTTCTCCTGGCCGTTTGATAGAATGCAAGTTTAAGGGACTTCCGCGTTCGCCTCACTTCTCAGACCGGAAGGTTCCCGCTTGGTGCTAGTGCTGTAAACACCAAGCAGCATCACGAAAATGCACAAAAATGCAGTCCCTCAGCCACTTAAGGCTGGCCTGCTAGTCAATCCACATAGACCCCCATGTTAAAATGCCCAACTTTATATTAGAAATTAACATGTTTACAGAGTGGTACAAAAATGGTTTTGGCCTCTATAGCTAATTTCCCATTCATGACAACTATACAGGGGATGATTTTTTATATAACTCACCTATTTGGGGAGGGATTATTAGATTATTTCTTATTCCACCATTTTAATTCTACTTAATTTTCCACCTTATTTTGGGGCTTTAGCATTTACTCACTACTTGAATCTTCTCACCTTACTTTCCCTTCAATTCTCTTTTCCCCACACTCACATACATGCACAAACCTACACCTGGTCTCTGGATTTGGTCTCTTACTGCAAACATACCAGCTTACCCCGCCTCTTTCTGTGTCTCTCTCCCTGTCTGCTCTCCATCAGAAGCATGTTTTATAAAATCACAGAAAAGACACAGAACTGGTCTTTTGGATTTTTCCACCCACGATTCCCTTTTCACAGCAGCAGGTGTGCTGGATGTGGAGGAGGCTTATTAATGATGTAGCCTATCAAAACGATCGAAACCAACGTGGTACTGAAAGACATCTGCACTTGTGTATGCATTGTTCACTGTTGCTTTGGTCCGTGCTTGTAAAATATCTACTGTGTCTCTCTGTGTTTCTTAAAAAATAAATGCTAAAGTGGGTCTCGATACTTTGGCGGCCATTATAATACATGGGTGGCCCGCCAAGTATAAGTGGAAAATATGTTGTGACTAGCTTGGTCAAATTCTGTATTTAAATTCATGTATATGGGTCATATATATGGGATATGATCGTTGTGTTTTGGTTTGTTCTAAAATTTCACTGGAACGTATCCAGAATATTAATTTTAAAAGCTGTTAAGTATCTTGCTTTTAGAGGCAAGTTTGAGACTAATTTCTGAGAACCTTATTGTTAAGGTTAGGTTTTTTAGGATTAACAACCTAGCAACAGCACAAAAAATCTCTGTCTCATGGGTAGTATTTATACTTATCAGGACATCATCTTAGACACTGTTAAAAACACATTCAAAGCACTAACTGAATCAAGACGACACATGTAGGAATTACTCTCAAACTTAATGAGTTTTGAGGCAAAAATCTACAAAAATTAGACATAGTTGTTGCCTGCCTTTTGAAGGAGTGGAGGAGTATAGTAATCTTTAACTACAATACCAGCTTTGATTATAACGTACTGTATATATTGTTTTTTACTATTCTCACTTTCCTCACAGTGGAGTCTTAAAAGTGACATGGGCAGGTTTTAACAGCTGACCCATTATAGAGAACAATACAATTACTCTGATTATCAGAGAAATATGCTCTCCTCTCAGTGCACACAGCTTTATTATGAGTAGGATAGTTATGGGTTCTTTGTAAATTAAACATCAACCTCCAGTTTAGCTTTTCTGAATAACGTTTCAGTGGCTGTATATGATCTCTTTAGCACTTGAATAGTGTTGATAAATCATGGTGATGTTCAGTCACATGACCTTGTGTATTCATCAGGTTGTTGTTCAGAGTGTCATCCATTTAAGCCACAGAGCCAGTCTCACTGAATGAATTAATGAGCTGACAAGTTCAGAGAACTAAACCTCTGCTGTAGCATCTCTGAACCTATTCTGAACTGTGAACTGTGTGCAGCCTGTCACCTGCAGCTTTTCATCTAACAGCTCACTGTGGCTGCTCCTTCTTGTTCCATTACTCCCAACTCGCAACATTTCAAACTGATCTGCTGACAAAAATCTTTGAGAATTACCGTTGTCTTGTTTTGTAGAAGGTTTATTTGATGAACGATAGTGGTCAGTGCTAATCTCACTGACAAAAGCATTGCATTTCCTGTGACTACTTCAGAATAAAAGTCAGCCAGTTAAGTCACCATTTAAATGCTTTTAATTTTGAAGCTGCAGCAGTAGGAAAGTTCGGTTTGCATTGGTAATAAGTTAATACAGCATTTTTTTCGGGTAATGTGACCACTGACACCCAGTTTGTAATAACGGAAATTTCTTTCATCATTTGGCTCCATAGGCTCACTCACCATTGTGTCACCTCTTTCAGAGATATATAGTAACTTAACTGACATTTATTTAAATGAGAATTTCGAGATTATTACTTTATTTTGTATCTTACATCAAGTAAAGCCATGCAGACCTGTTTTAGTTCAACACTTTGTTGATACTGGTTGCATGCATGGTTGTATGTTGAACCATATAATTTAATACAGCCAATATGTCTAGTAGATTGACCTCTTTACCTGTCAGTTCAGTTTTCAGGTGCGTTTGGCAGGTGTTTGTTTCAACCCTGATAGTACACAAACTCTGAAAATGAGTGCTAGAATTTCATGGGGGGAAAAATGTGTCCACTATCTCTGAATGTTTTAATGAAAGTTATTCATTCCTCTCTTTTGTTTTTCCCTTTGGGAGGCTCTGCATCTTGTAGGTGGATGTCCAGTGTAAGAGCCATTAGATGCATTGTTTGTAAATATATTTGAGCAGAGGCTCAGTGGAGAGATAAAATGGTTCTGTTTTGGAGCTGTGCCCTCGGGGCATGTTAGTCACAATGCAGCAGAGTAGATTTATGGATGCCAATAGCACAGAGCAGAGGCACCATGAATTCGGAGATGATGAGTGAATGCATGTGAGTTACTGAATCTAGTCTATGAAGTGTACCTTTTTAGATTTCACCTTTGTGAATGAGCTTTTAACACTTCATCATCGTTTAGTTAGAACAAACATTTGTCTTGCTTAAAAATAGCCTGGACAAATTACAGACACACCAGAACAGAAAAAGCCATAGAAGTATCAGCAGATGTGCGTGTGTGTCCACGTGCCTTTGTTTAAAAGCCTTGTAATGCAAAGAGAGTGGCTGAAGTGAGAGACAGAAAACAAAAAAACAAAAGGATGGGGTGAAAGATCTGTGAGAAAAAGGAGCAGGAAAAACGGGAGAGAACAGCTAACAGCCAAAACCGAAGAGTGTAACAGACAGAGAAAAATATCTATTTTTCTCCATCAGGTCTCATGAGATAACAAAGAAGCAGAGATAAAGTGGACTGCAAACATGACAGAAAGGACAGAGACACACAAAAATAACCAGCTCCTCCAGAGATTAAATTATTTGCTCTCTGGCACAACATTTGAACACCCAAGTTGTTCAAGTCTCCAACATATATGCTAATGGCTTGAACTTTAATGTTTGAAAAAGTTTAGTTAGAAACATAATAATAATGAAGGGCTTCATCTCCTCTGCAATCAGCTCAGGATTCAGCAATCAGTGCAGGTCAGGCTGTGTCAGTGTAAAGCAGTGTTTATTTTCGGTTCAGGTTGGGGCACATGATATTCATACTAGACAATAAGAGAACTAATACAGGCAACATGCAAATTAAATGATGTAAAATGAATGTATAAATGGAAAATTACTCAGATTAACTGACCAATATGATGAGTGAAAATGAGTGAAAGCCAAAACATCTAACTATGTATTCCCATAACCTAATTAATAATAATAATAATAGTAATTTAATAATCATTCATTAAATTCAGGTAAATCTGATCCCAAACAGTTTTTACATGTCATTACGTAGTGTACAAATCCTGAAAATTATTAACTAATAAAAATGCATACAGTATTGACTATGAAGCTGCTAGCTACTAGCTACTGTGATAAGTTCATACTGCGATAATTACTTTTAAACGCACATTGTATTCCCACCTTTTTAAAGAAAAGCAATTGTAAGCACTAAGCTGAGAAACTGTAGCTGTGTTTCAGTTCCAAACCATATATGAATACTATAAACCACACCTGCATGTACTGTACTGTACTGTACTGTAATGTGTGTACAGTGTACTGTTTGCATTTAGTGTGCAACAAATGAATTAAAAGCTGCTATGACAATGTGAAAGGGGTCACTCGAAGTGATAAACCTATAGAGAATTATCACCTGAATCTGCAACTCCCTCGGCTTTATGGAGTTCCAGCTCATTGTTTAGCTGTCCAAACCACAGCTTTACTGTTTTAGTTCAGTCTCACTGCCCTCACAGTGCCATATCCAACCAAAGCATGCAGCAGTTTTCAGTGGAAAAGCTATAAAAACCCACTGTACACTACAAGCTCAGCATCAAACTGCAAACGTAGTTGGTGAACATATTGGAGCATTTACCAGCCATTGCAGGTTTAAGAAATACTACAAGGTGGATAACAGTTAAAGTGATTTGTGAACATTTTAGGGCTTCAGCTAATGATGATTTTAGTAATTGAGTATTCTACAGATTATTTCATCGATTCACTGAGTAATAGTAAAATAAGTACTTTTGCTTGGTGGTGCGCCATCCCCCCCGGGTCAGCTGTGTAACTCATAACGTTGCAACCCAAACTCACGGCCCAACCAGGCAAAGACCAATAACAACAAACGCACTTGTAACGTTATACATTTACGGCTGAGGATTGCAACATACTTTTGCTAGCCTTCAACTTAACAATCAATCGTGATTTAACTTGAATGGTAAAGTTGCCGTTACTGTTTCTTTGTAATTCATTTTCTCCCCCGATATATTCCTGGAATAAATATTTCAGTTTTGAGTAGCTTCTCAGGGATATTATTGTCCTTCAAATGAGTACACTGCATTTGCCAATACACTACATACTCAAATCCTGCTCAGAATCAGTAATCTCAGCAATTACGAGGAAAAAGTGTCTGCTCTTTTTTTCTCCACAATGCCCTCTGGTGGTGTAGCTCCCCACCCAGTCAACAAAAACAGACCACTCACGCAGGCATCCACCTGCATGTGGCTGTATTTGCGAGGATGCACTGCCCACGTATTTGTGTGCGCCACTGTGTGTGGATGTACATGCATGTGTGTGTCTGTAAGCGTGTGTGTGTGTGTGTGTGTGTTGGTGCCTAGTCTATAAACCTTAAAGCTGGCTTTCCATATATTTGTAATCTTCTGCTGTATTTCATTTTCTTTTTATCCCTCTGAAGATTTGTCCTCGACTCCAGCTGTGGCCCCTGTTCAGAGCAGTATGTATCGCTGCCTGCAGCCGGTGCAGCTCGCTAATATAGAAGTAGTGGTAGAGATAGACGTGATTGTAGGTGTGTTGGTGTAGCGAGTAGCTGGTCATAGTCTCTGCCTCTGTTTGTCCTTTCTAGTTGTACAAATATAGTTCAGGCAATCCAAAATACCAATTCTGGAAAGATCCAAACCCTAACAATCCTACCCTCTTGTAGCCTATAGAGCTTGCTTATAGCACAATATAGAGCTGACAGTATTGTAGCAGGAATCTAACGTCTGAGGCTTCTCTTTTATTTCAGGCCACAACTGCTCTCACCCCTCTCCCAGCTTTATCGCAGGCAATCCAACTCATCTTCCTTTAGGTATATAACTCACACTCACACACGCACAGCCAATCATATCCTTGTGATCTCATCTTGATGTACCTCGACTTTCAACTAACAATGGGATTCAATGGAGTCATTTCAGTCTATTCTGATATCTGCTCATGGTGGAGGGATGTCAGGAAAATCCAGCTTTGCTTAAGAGAGAGAGAGTGTGAAGACAAGATGTCACTCCCGCCCACGATCTCTATATCTACCCTTTATGAACCCAAATCCAGCTCCGCTCAATTAAGTCTAGGGCCCAGCTTTGCCTTTTGAACTGTCGTCTTGAAGGGTTTCTGCTAGCTGCACTGTTCTCAAGCTGCGGGGGGATCCCATTTTGCCTCTGTTAATCCTCTTTTCCTGCCTTCTCTCTCCTTTTCTCTGTGCCTGTCTGTGTTTTCCTTGCCTCCTTATTTTCCTCCTCCTATTTCTTCTCTCTTTTATCAGTTCCAGCCCTGTTGAACATAAGCTCTTATGTGAGTGACACCTTTGCCAAAATCAGCTGGACTGCCACAGAAGAGCAGCAGGACTCGCAGGTTTATGTGGCTTATATGAATAACCGTAAGCTACTTTTCCTGTCCCCGCCTTGCTCAACATTGATAGGAATTTTAGGTGGCATCATTTTTAGGTGCAACTGGGAAGGTTTTATAGAAACATCTAAAAATATATCATAAGCCTAATGTCTGCATGGCTACTTCCATCATTTCCATTATTGCCTAAAAATGTAAAGATGTATTTAAAGTTTTATATAGTGCAACAAATACATGTAGTAACTTAGGGAACATGTATTACTTGGCTACAGCTCATCCTATCTTCTTTTTTGATAGCATGAATGCTAATACAGAATTGCTGCTTGTGCACTTGTTGTGCTTGGCTGTGTAGGTGATGGTAACTGGCGGATTTCAGAGGCTGTTAACACTTCTCAAAGTTTCCACATAATTGACGGGCTCAAACCTGGGGCGGTGTACACCATACGCCTCTTGGCCAAGAGGCTGTTCGATAACGCTAGCATTTTCGAAGATGTTATCCAGACTCAAGTCAAAGGTGAGAGGAGAAAAAATGTTGCGGTCAATAGAGTGTAGTGATTTGACTTCCAACCTGCCGTAACAATACAAGCACATCATTTACAAATTGATAATGACTGTGGTGAATGTGTGAGTTTATTTTATTTTTCTTGCATCTCTGTGCATTTGTTTTGTCTTGTTCCTATCTAATATTCTTTCAGAAGAGCTAGAGTTTCATAGCTGAAGGGACTGTGAGTCAAATACGACGTGAGAACATCTTCTCAAACTAGGATCCATCATGTTTTTCTGTTTTCAGTCAAAGATAAAGTTGTATGAGGAGCGCTTGAGGGGACTGTCATACTCAAATAGGCAGATTTGGAAAGTCGATCCCTGAGCTCTGTGTCTCTTTGCTGTTTTTGTTCTCAGGCGTGGAAGGTCAGCGGAGCGACTTTTCAACTCAGGGCTGGTTCATTGGGACCATGTGTGCTGTGGCGCTGCTCACCCTCGTTGCTCTCATGGCCTGCTTTGTGCAGAAAAACAAAAGTGGCAAGTATGCAGGTACGCCGCCGCCGCCGCCGCTCCAGCGACAAGACATGTTCTCCATGGAAAAAGGTCAGTTAGTCTTTGACCAGGGTTGGGTCCCCTTGTTGTTTCGCTTCAGATGAACCAAAATTCAACTTTTCATTTCAACAATGAAATGCATAGTACATGATATAGAAGACACCAATCTTACTTGGTTATAAGTGATTTAATTATCTTTCAATATTTAAACATCACCAATTTTTCAGCGTGACGCTTTAATTCAACTTTTGAATTTGGTTGACGTACTGAAAGAATGAAAATGTGCAATGGGCCTCAACCCTGACCCCAGACCTTTATGGAAATGCATTATGCATGCTTGTTGGAAACCGCATGCTAACCCTGCCAAGCCCAATATCACTTACTATGAATGTTCCACGAGATGCTTGCAGCTAGTGTAGGTTTACCTCTTGTGAAACAATTTCTGTGGCCCCGTTAGTTCTGCTTGGTACCTCTGATTACACATCTTGTCAAGCCAGATGAGTGGGAACCAGCTGGCTTTGTTCCACACCTCCCCACCCCTCACCTGTGCAGACCTTCCTTCCCCTGTGCCTTTGTGCTGTCTTGAATCAGAGCCAAATTCAGTCTCACAACAGTACCTACCTGCAAAGTGTCTCCTCGCTCAGTTTCTTTCCTCTCAACCTGCTTTCCCGTCATCTCCTCACCATCCTACTTCTTTGCCTGCAGTAGCTTTTGACATGAAGCACTGAATATTTCATCAGCTCCTTTGGATTCCCCCTTTGCCCATCCTGCTCTTTTCATGAAACCCCTCTTTTGTCTTTCTCGAAAGCAACTGATATTTCTTAAAGCATACTCACACAAAGAGCTGATGTGTAGCACGCTGTGCAGACACACAGAAGTGAGGCTTTCAGTGTACATACTTGATATAATGTTTACACAGTCATATTTAGTTGGTCTCAAAAGCTTTTTGGTTATGACTTTTGAATTTCAACTCTTATATATACTCAAGTGATGTAAAAGTTCAGATAATTTATTCCTGTACACTTACTAAGCATTAACGTTGAGTTTGCTTTAGATCTAGTTTCCAAGACTTGTCTGACAGAAAATCACTGAGGTTTATTAAAACTAGCAAAAGGCCAGTGCTACTGTTTGGTTTATTTCCCTTTGGAAAATGTTGAAGACATCATCCTTTATAGTTTGAATTTGAAGCATGGCAAGTGATTTTATGTCCCAACACTACAAGTAATATGTAATTACATTTAGGGATGAAGTTGCTGCTCTTTGACAGTGACGCTGCAATATCTGTCTCTCCCTCTATCCCGTAGTGAAAGAGAAGGAGGACCTCCACCCTGATGTGGAGTCACAAGGAATGAATGATGACACCTTCTGTGAATACAGGTGAGCTGTGCTCCTGCTCTGCAGAGGAAAGCTGAAGTGCCAAAGTGTGCTGAGGAAATTCCATTTTTTATCTCCTTGAAATGCAATGTTATTATGTTAATATAACAACCATATGTTAAATCTTTTCAGGCTGAGAAAGTCATTTGTCATCTGTCACAGTAATGTTTTTCTCTTCCATCCCAAAAGCAAACCATGCATTCATGAGCTTTACCATGATCGGCCTAGAAGCCAGTGTTCTCATCATTTAATGGGCTAGGTAATCACACTCTGTAGTTAAGAGTAGTGGGTAAGAAAAGCTTGAGATTTGCTCCCCTTTAGTTGGAATTATGTGCATTTACTTTGTTGCCGTATATACTATATCTATACTGTATGTATGTATATATATATATACGGGCTTACAAGACATTACTTACATTACCTTCAGAGGCAAGAGAAAACAAAGCAAGCATACTGTATTCATGTGTCAAACACATTATATCATATATAAGTAGGGTAGTCTACTGTATTGGCCAGATGACCCACCTTTTCCAAGATACAAAACAATTTTAGTCTAGCCCTGTTGGGTTTCCCTGTGATGCCATAAGTTCAGCGAGACATTTGTTCTCATCTTTGAAGCCTTCTGTTACATAAAATACTGCTTTAATGGAAGTATTTCATTAAAAATGAATGTAAATCCAACATTTATTTGTGTTAAAAGTCACACCCTGTCCAGGAAGCTCTTTTTTAGAATTATTTTCCTCTAATATAAAACAACCCCCACTTTTACAAACAAATGTTGTCTTATAATTGGGCCAATACGGTAATGTTGTGCAAAACAGGGTAGTAGCCGACCCTGCAAACCCATGTGTCAAACTTGAACAAAGGTGAACTTTGACCTGCAAGTTTGGTAAGTTAGTTAGTTACTTAATTACGTGTTTAGCTTATACCAAAACAGCAAAAAGATTGGTGGTAGTGTGACTGCACTTTGCAACCAAGACATTTCTTAGACAACAGCTGTAATGCTATTAATTATTTAAGCTCTTAGATATGCTGCCTACTGAACCTACTGTATTAAGGTCGTGTTTTAGCCACATCTTATGTAGAAAGATGTACACTATTTGAGGTGATTGGATGTTAGTGAAACATAACTTTTGATTTACTTTTGAACTCTAAATTCACATTGTGTATTAGGGTGTATTGTGTGGAATATCTTCAACACAGGCCACTCTTTTAATTGTAATAGAAGACCCTTCCACTGCACACACACAGATTGATTCTAGATATATAGCAATTGCTGATGGAAAATATCTTACATTCAACAAAATGGGCATAAACTAAGCACGGTAAATGGGTTGAAAACCGGAGCCTTTAAGCCCGAAGCAGACAGCTGTTTTACTTATAATAGCTGTTGAATTCCCATTGTTTGCATTGTTTAGCTGCTACGGTGACAGTTTAGGGAAATCGTCTGAATCCTATTTTGCTTGACAGCGCTGCAGCAACTGTGTGACAATGGCGTGTTTGTTTGTGCACACGCAACAGAAAACACCTAAAATAGCCTCTTCTGTCTGCTTTGATTCTGCTCGTTATCATATTACTCAGAACATGATTACTCACAATTGTGTGGTTGCTGCCAATTGCATTCCTGTGATTCTTGCCAAGACTGTAGTTCTGTTGAACAGGAAAGAATGCATTGTCTACAGTCATGTTTATAGATTTTATAGCTTAAAGAATTTAATATTATACATCAACAGTGAAATCTTATTATGATGATTAGATTATTTTGTGCTATTGTTTTACGGAAAGTCCAAATTAATAATACGAAACAAGTTTTAATTCAAAACTAACAAAATTTGTTATTGAGGTTTGTGTTTTACATATTCTTTGCATACCATTGGTGCATAGTTAATTGTGTGAACCATCATGATGATATTAAATGGAATTGACATATAACTTTATAACATATACATCTCCTATCAGAAAACATTTGTGATAGTGATTTTAACTCTGACATCAAGTTTACTTTGGAGCTCATCAGGCAGGGGAAGTAATATGAGTTGATGAGTTGGTGCAGATGTTTGGCTGCAGCTGTTTAGAATGCCTCTCAGGGTTGGTTTCATGAGGTTGTTCAGAGTACTGTCTCCCCAGAGTGCCCTTAGCCTTACTATGATGTTGTTTTCCTGGCTTTAGAGCTGGATTCAGGGCTCTCTTGTGCCCTTTGAATCTCTGAAGGCAATAGACCACCCACTAGTATGCCACGTGTCTGGGGAGCTGACAAGTGGTAATCAGCTTCAGACGATTTCTCTTTGGAGACAGCCCTCTGCTGCGTAGCCCCTCCGTCCACTGCAAGAACAGCAGGTGTCATAGCTTGAGATGGCTGTTAGCCAACAGTGTAATGCAATTTCTTCCTTGGATAGTTTATCAGCTGTTGTTTTTGCAGCAAATGTGGCAAAGTTCTTCTTCTAGACACCTTCAAACTAAAGAAAATACAACTTTAGATGCAATGGGGTGGAGGGCCTCCTTCCCTCTGAAGTTTCCGTGCTGCCCCCAAACCAAGTCAGCATGGGTCAATGGCAAGACAGATTACCTTCTGCCAGGTGACGTGCCTCCATCTCTCACCTGTTTGTGAGGCTTAAGGAAAGCCCGGCCAAGGTCTTGAATGAGAGCCGGGGCTCAAAAGCACCCGGCCCCATTTTATCACTGTAATAAAGTCACTGTGGGCGGGCTGCTGCGGCTGTGGCATTCCACTGCTCATAGATAACAACCACTTATCTTCAGCGCTCTAGAGTCGTCAGAGAAAGAAGGCTTGATAAAAGCTGAAATGCGGACCTTATGCAGCTTGCATGGTAAACGGCCTCATGAAATGGGATAGATAAGATTGGTTATTAAAAATCCCAGCGAAGGAGAAGCAATTTGTAATCAGAGCTTGAACCATGTCTCTGTGCTAAAATGCTGCTGAAAATGTCGAGCTTTTATTTGACACAGGTGTCAACTACAGTACGCCTCAAATGGCGCTATCATATACCAGCCACCTGACTAACGTCTCAGAACACAGCAGACAGTCTGTGTTATGAATACTAAAATCAAAGGAGAGAGAGAAGTGTTATCAAACACTGCTGGTTTAGGGAATTAGAAAAGAGCACAGGGAGGAGAAATATCCTCAGTGTTTTGAGGTGACCCCGCATCTTGTAGTGAGACACCTGCAAGTTGGCCAGTTGCCCAGCCTTAAATTGGCATCTAATCTCCTCGGCCTGCGTGTGGGCCCCTCGGGAATACCAGGAATGACAGGCTGTTAGTCTGGGATTGCATATGCCCCACCTCTTCCCCCCTGTTCGTTCTCCCGTTCTCAATCCCAGCCACTACCCCCTCCCCCCCCCCCCCCCCCCCCATATATGCACACACACCTCCCACCCGTCTCCTTTTTCACTGCACTGCAATTTCCATCGCTGGTTCTAAAGAGATTTGAAATTGCCTTTGGTCCTGAAGCCTTGGCAATTAGCAATTAGTGAAGTGATTGTACCAAGCCCTCCCTCCTCCCTTGTGCTCCGTTTCCCGCTATGCATCCGCCGCATCCACCCTGCCTATTGCCTGTAGTGATGTATTGAAACCATAAGAACTCCCTTTGTGACTAGGATCATGTGTGTGTGTGTTTTAGTGCAGACAAACATTTAATAGTATATATGTACTGTACAGGCTCTGCACACTGGTGTTTGCATGTGTATCTGTGTAGCTTTTGGTTATACAGTATATGATATTGTGTGTGTGCTTGTGTGTCAAAGACCTCTTAGGGGCCCTGTGTTGCTTCCGAACATCTGCCTGATGTACTATAAAATGTGTTTGTTTATGCACTGCACCACTGACCCCAGCCATCCTTCTCTGTCGTTGTTGATGGCAGTGACAGCGATCAGAAGCCACTGAAGGGCAGTAGCTTGTGTTCCCTGGTGGGGGACAGCGTCAGCAGAGACAGCCTGGTTGACTATGCCGACGGTGGAGAAGAATTCGATGAGGACGGTTCATTTATCGGAGAATATTCCGGACCCAAGCACAGAGGCTCTGTTAGTGAGCCCAATGGACCCAGCTCTGTCACTGCATAAAGCTATGCTCCAACTGAAACTGTCTACTTCAAATCCTTTCAAAATCCTTTTTAAATTCATCTTCCATGGCATCAAATATAGCTTGAATTGCCAAATATATGGGGGGGGGACTCAAATGTGCAGAAGTTTTTACAGCAGGCAGAAGAAGGGACTGGAATGGGAAGAATAGACCCACCATACACATCAGTGTGAAAACCATGTGAGTGTTTGTACATACTTTAAGAGAATGACCTGTATCATTTGAGTGTTTCATGATTTTGTTAATGATAATAAAGATCTTTTTGTACCTATCAGCCAAAATCTTCTGCGGTACACATTGATTTTCGTCTTTCACAAAAGGCAGAAGATAAACAATAATTTTCCACAATGTATAAAAACACTGAAAATCTGATATACAGTATGTATTTTTTACACAGTGGATGAGAATAACACATAAAGTACATAAGCATCTACAACTCTGCAGGATGTCCTATTTAATGAAGACAGTTACATTCACATCGTGAAATGGAAACAATATGTAGTCATATATGACTGTCCATTACTGTATATTACTGTATATTTTATGTATGGTTTAGATTGTGTTAATTTGCAAATGTGTGAAAGTTGATGATTTGTTTATAATCAAAATACTGATAATTACGGTGGCCCTGAGAGGCCAACGCACTGCAACTTAAGAAAACACATTCAAATTCATCACAACACAACACATAAAGACAATACAACACATTAAGACAACACAACACATTTAGACAACACAACACATTTAGACAACACAACACATTGAGACGACAACACAACACATTTAGACAACACAACACATTGAGACGACAACACAACACATTTAGACAACACAACACATTAAGACAACACAACACATTTAGACAACACAACACATTAAGACAACACAACACATTTAGACAACACAACACATTAAGACAACAACACAACACATTAAGACAACACAACACATTGAGACGACAACACAACACATTAAGACAACACAACACATTTAGACAACACAACACATTAAGACAACACAACACATTAAGACAACACAACACATTGAGACGACAACACAACACATTGAGACGACAACACAACACATTAAGACAACACAACACATTGAGATGACAACACAACACATTAAGACAACACAACACATTTAGACAACACAACACATTTAGACAACACAACACATTAAGACAACACAACACAACAAAACACATTTAGACAACACAACGGAAGTGTTTCCAGGGGACCCTTTTAAGTGATGCACACAGCTAGCTTGTTTTGGTTGAACCTGTAACCTGAAGTACATAATACCATGAAATGACACACTCCGGGACAGTAGGGGGCAGTGTGCACCTAAACAACGTGGTTGGAACCTGCAAAACAGAGAAGAGAAGAAGAAGAATCTTGTTTTGGTTGTGCTCCCATGGTTTTGCAGCGGCAGTTCAGGACTTTTTTCCATCAGCAAATGAAGCTAAAATGTGTTTTTTGGTCCTTTTAACATTGTTGTGCTGTCTTAATGTGTTGTGTTGTCTTAATGTGTTGTGTTGTCTAAATGTGTTGTGTTGTCTAAATGTGTTGTTTTGTCTAAATGTGTTGTGTTGTCTTAATGTGTTGTGTTATGTATATGTGTTGTGTTGTCTTAACGTGTTGTGTTGTCTAAATGTGTGGTGTTGTCTAAATGTGTTGTGTTGTCTTAATGTGTTGTGTTGTCTTAATGTGTTATGTAAATGTGTTGTGTTGTCTTAACGTGTTGTGTTGTCTTAATGTGTTGTGATGTCTTAACGTGTTGTGTTGTCTAAATGTGTTGTGTTGTGATGAATTTGAATGTGTTTTCTTAGGTTGCAGTGCGTTGGACTCTCAGGGCCACCGTAGATAATATATTTTAAATGAATATATTTTTTAATTGCTTTTTATATCGAGTAGGGGACAACAACATAAACATAAGAACGATACTAACACAAGAACAAATTCAAGTATCAGTTTTACCAACTATGCTCCTGGTTGGGTGGTGTAATTACAGCAGGGATATATATGTTGCTTAGCAAAAAGGATTTAAGTGATAAGTGTACTGCCGCATTTATCTCTGGAGTGTAATAATGAATAATAATTTAAGGAACCTGTGAAAAGTCTAATTGTGAATGACGCTTTCACCTTAGTACCTTCCCGCTACTGAAGAGGAATTTCTGAAACAATTTGTCATACTCCTATTTATAAGGTTTTGGACTATTTTAATCATGTGCCTTTATTCTGCTGGGTATCCTAGTATGAATCACTCTACATCTCTTTAAAATTATTAGGCAGCTGAGCTATTTATGATCTTGAAATTGTTAATGTCGGGTACTTCCTTCCCAATTTTTTTTGACTTGGTGCAGTGATTAATCAGTTTCTATTTGCCGCTCCTTTTCTGTAATTTAAAAAGCACCCACTTTTATGCTAAACCTGCTTTCAACATGGAATGTGAATGCATTATGAGCACATTCCTTCCTCGTTGCTTAGCTATTACCAAAATTATACAGTAAATGTTGTTCATAAACTAAGTGATATTGGAATGATACAAACATGGCTGAATTAAGCTCGATATTCTCAAAGGTCAAACACATTGCAAATACCAAAAATATTTTACCCGTTATCTCCCCAATACATGCAGTAAATCCTCACATCCATAATGCATGTTGCTGAAATATTCATCAAGGATATAACTCAAATAAAGTTGAGATTTGACCTGTTCAACAATCTTACTTAAACAGATGTATTAAAACAGGATACAGCAGTGGTTCAGGCTACAAGGTACTAAATGTTTAATTGGCTAGAGGCTTATTTTTCATGTTTAGGATCCACCACTGAGTTCTTTTAAGATACAAAGACTTCTTTAAAACCAAAGAACATTCTTAAAAATCAAAGCAATCCAGTTAGATGTTTAACTTTGTTGACAAAGTCATGTAGAGAGTTTCGATAAAGAGTTTTTACTTCAAACCAAAATGAGCAAAACTGATCATATGGAAGAAAGTTCAGCTATGAAATATAGTCAACATCTGTAGTCAATCTCTTTCCCATTACCAGGAAATCTCTTTCACATTATACTTGGTACTGATAATTGGAGCCAGGTCCCATGGCTCCAATTATCCGAACCAAAGCAGTGCTCGCTCTCACCTTCATTGTCTGAGGGGAAAATATAGCACCCTTGATGAGGCAGAAATCTCAACTAACAAAGACGGGAGATGATTGACTCATCCATCATTTGGTGGGAGCCTCTTTAAACCCCTCCAAAAACAGCCCAACTTCAGATTCACTCTATTATTTTTGAGCCTTTCAATAAAAAAAAGATAAGAGGTACAGAAAAAATAAATTCCCTTTATTTACCGTATTTGTTTGTCCCAAAATTCCAAAATGAAAAACTGTGACTGAAATTTAAATTTTAAATGTATCATGCATACAAAGACAGGAAGATAGTTACACAATGTCCCCAGTAACATTCTGATCATTTATTAAAAGGACAAGCCATTACAACACGACAATGTTTACTTTATTTCAGTTTTCCCTTGGTCAAATCCTCTCACCTCTGCCACTGGATTTCTTGCATATCTGTAAATTACCTTGGAGGCGCTTATCTTACATTCTGAATACACAGCCTCCTTGCAGCTGTATAGTCTGTCTGTAGCCTGGTGATTATAAATAAAATAGGCATTGTGGTCGTAATCAAATCAGACTTGGGATAGTGGAGTTGAAAAGCACTCCATGCCTCATGGCAAGATAAAGGTCATTTAAAGAGATAATCCCTGTATTGTCGGGGATTACGCCCTCATCCGTTTTAAAATTGCTTTCTCCATGGAACGTTAAAACCTCCAAACAACAACAAAAGATTACTCTAGTCAAAGCCCCCCTGAGTGTCACACAAGCAGCTTTTTTGCTCCACTAAATCTATTTTGAGGGCGTGCAGGTGACCCTTTCAGAAGTCATAATAGCCCTATTTTGAAACGAGCAAAGGTCAGGACGTCAGCATCACCTGAGTTCATGTTAAATGGAACAGCCATGTTTGTTTGCATGGTGTTTTGCTTATGTTAGCTAGAGTTCAAAGGGGATCATTCCCTTTCAGTCGATTTTATCGGTGCTGATATTTAGGCTAAGTGCTCTGGAAGTTGCCTGGTGGGAGGAAATCGATAGCATACTCACACATGCTGAGAGTTCAGCCCAGTAACCACGGGCTGTAACCACTCAGCGTTGCACTAACAGTAAACCAACCGACGACGCTGCGTGGACAGGACACTGTGCAAAGACTGTAGCACGCAGTTTTCCCAGGGTACGAGATATTGAGTAACTACCCAGTGAAGAAGGAGGTAGCATGATGGCCATGAAGATCTCATCAATAATGAACGCCGCCGGGTTCAGAGAGAGGGGAACTGTGACAGGTGGTTCTGGAGAAGCCCTTATGGAGGACCTTCTTCTCTTTAGCGGCTTTTGAAGGAATGCAGTTAAAGCATTTGCAGAATCTGTACCAGGAGCTAAACCAGTGTCATGGTTTTACAGGGACAGACAGTTGTGGCCATTAAGAGCAACTCACAAACACTTTTAAAGACACAATTTGTGCACTTTACCAGAGAAGGGGTTAAGAGTGGGTGGAGAAAAGGGGGGTTGAGTTTTGAAGGTTATTTAACTGCACACTATTGAAACTTGCTTCAGCAGTATTACAGATGAAGAAAAGGAGCTCAGAAAGACAGCTTGTAACCTTGACACCCACTCAGAATGACAATATTTTACCTTCCATATTCTTCCAATGGCCTTCACTCTGTCTGCATTTTTAAGTGGATGAGGAATGAATTTCATTTGCTTACCTTTTAATTGAAATCTGAAGCAGACTAACAAGAAAAGATACATCAACGTCTAGACTCGCATTCACAAGGCTGTTATTGTCTGTCTCTGTTGCAGTCTTTCACTAAATCTTTCTAATGAGTACCTTAATTGATTCCACTTTTAAAAACACTAAAATACATCTAAATGCATTAAAAGTTGTCCCAGTCGCAGTACCAACCGGAAGAACTACCATCTAATTTAGGTCTCAGGCGTCCTCCTCCCATTGCTGCTCATTCTTTTGTCATCTCAACATGGTGCTACACTCACCTTCTGCTAAAATGTAATTTGTCTCAGAAGAATGCAAATGGAATTGGATGATTCTGCATACAGAGAATCCTTTTAGAGAGCTATTATTTCCCTGGTAAACTGCTTTAGATGCAAGCCCAGACACTCTCAAAATGCTGGCCAGCAATTGAGTGGATGTTTGTGTGCCTGTGTGT